ATCAAAGTTTTTTAATTTTTCGAAAATGCATGTAAATTGTGAAAGTTTTTTCCCATAAAAACTGTATGATAGGCATATATTTGCATGGAGGTCAACCTGGGTACATGATTGCAAATTATCGTGCTTTTTCCTTGACTGACACTAAACGTGAAGACATGCTTTTCTGTCCGTGGGGTTTGAGATTTTGCTTTATTATATTTATAAATATCTTTTCTTCTCCACAAAAAGTAGAACACGCTCTTTTATTAACAGTGAACACGCTCTCTGTTCTTACCTATTGCCATTGTAGTCTTGGTAGTCATGCCTGATTAATTTGTACCTTGTGGTGCCTCAGGCAGTATATATATTGCTCAGTTTCTAAGTTAATAGTCTCATATTGAGTTACCGCATGGTGCTGTTCAGCTCCCCCACTTGACCATTATATTTATACGCTTTTTTATTGTTTCTGTTTCCTAGTGTCTTGAGGACAATATCGAATGTTTCTTTTAATTGGAGGCAGTTCAAGGTCAAATGCGGACCACCGGTCGAACAAAACTAAAAGCACATTAAAAAATTGCAATTTTTTTGCCCATTCATTTGTGATTCAAACCTAAAACTTGCCCCAATATGATAAGTGAACAAGAGAAACCGGTAACTTATAGCTGTTTTAATATGACAGGCATGCATGCAATATTTTAGGGAACATTTCCAGGATTGTACCTCGGCTAATTACCCTTTATCTATGAAGGGATTATGATCATTAAGCGATTGTCCGTGGATAAGAGATAATTTATTCACGAATGAGACAATGAGGGAAAATTGGGAATAAAGTCCCTATTCACCCTTGCTAACGTAAATTACCATTTCAAATTAGGCCACTGCAAGATACAACACTTTTTCTTCAGGAACGTTAGAACAAACTGGTTCGAAATTGGAAGCCATTTATGAAACTTGCGATAGCTTTTCAAAACTGATGCACTCCAAATCATCTCATTCTTTTGCCAAAATTTGGTCTATTGCTACATACTATCGTTATCATCATATCTTTTTAGAATACTATTCCTTCTGAATAATTAATTGAGCATGCTAGATGGTAATAACGCAAATCGAGTCGATTTTTTCTTCGTCCCTGGGAAATAGCTCATGGAATTAATTAACTCAAATGAAAGCCCACAGAAATAGTTCATCAAATATATTAGAAAAAATTGATAACAAATTTTTGAACTAATTTGTTTCGAAGGTAGAGCGGGCTGATTGAGGAAGTTAGGAAAAATGCGATTCTGGTATCAATAGTTTTAAAGCACTGTTCTGCTCTTTGAGACGCAGCGTTCAATTATTTGAATAAACGTACCATTTTTTTGCCTCTATGTTTTCCAAGTGTCCAAACTCCTCTTATGGTATTAACTCCTCTAGAGCATCATATTTTGAGAATAGCAACGATATCACTATTTCATTAGAGAAGATCTTGTGAAATGTGTCGGCAAAAAATTGTGAACAGTCTTGGCTGGCCGCAATAGTGCAAAAGGATTAGCAGCTTCTAAGGACCAAGCTAACGCCCCTGCAGAGTTTAAGGGTTTCAGATTCAACTTGGTGAATGTAGTTATGATCTTCTGTCACTCAGATTCAACTGATCTCAGGTGCCGTGTTATTGGGGGGAGGGGGAGGGGTTTGGGGAATTATTGAAGAAGGTTCGAATTGTGGCATGAAAAATATTTTTGAAATTTATTATCCGGGTCTTATTATCCGGGTTGATAATTAGGCACCTGAGTTTTTTAGGCGCAGCGCTGAGCTAAGTAAATAGCGATGAGCTTAACAAGGAGGAAGTTTAATATGGAGGAACTTCATATAACCCGATCTAACCGTTCTTCCAGCTATGACTTGTTCGCCAGCCAAATTTCGATAATACAAATTATAAAAATTCTTTATTCTGATTCAAAAAGCTATCACATAAAACATCAATTTAGTATTTTCAACTACTATACAGAATTACTTTTACTTTGATATTTGGGATCTCTTGAACTATTTGTTTAGTTCCCCACCTTTGGTTTTTACCAACGAATTGCCACCCCTATAAAGAAACAGTTCAACGATTAAGCAAATGCGAATTTTGTACCTTGTAACGAAGCACCATTTTTTGCAATAGTTAAAAAGATCCGATAAATAGCAACTTCGCTATCAAGATAGTCAATGCACGTTTAAGCGATAATTATGATACAATGTAAAATACCGTAAAAACACTGTTCACATTGACATGACAGAACTTCCACAATTATACCTAAACTACAGAATCAAAATATTATATTTAGTGCACCATTTTTTCACTGATTTGTGTTTGAGCGAAAATAAATCTAGAGAAAAAAATTAGAAATAAAAAGTGAACATCGGTCTATTGGACTATACACATACTTTCACGAAAATACCATATGGAAAACTTCATACTTTGAGCTTTGTTTATTTTATGAATAATTTATTCATTAAGAATCAAATAATAAATTAAATAATTCTTTTTTAGGGTTAGTTTATTGATAAGCAAGACTTAAGTCACGTGCACGTCGTTTTTTGTCATCTCGCATGGTCTCTTTCCACAAATTAACTCACTGTTCTATAAAAAAAACTTTTAACATCTAAAGCGGGCTTTTGTTGTAAGTGGTTCAATGATTGAAAGCGTAAGAATCCAGATATTTTTTGAATGTTTTAACGTGACTTGATACATCATTTTTTATCATTGTGAAAATATTGCGTTTATTAAATACATTGAATTTTCGTGCCCTTCATATTTAGTGTCTGAACGAATAATAAGACCAAATGATTTGCCTCAATTCAAGGCGGAACGCATTAATCTGCCGATTACTTACAGTTTAAGAACATAATATATTTTGCGCGCTAATTATATTGCAATTTGGCCAAATTAGCAATTTTCAAACCCCCATAACTCTACAAGAAAAGATCACAGGTAATTTTTTTTGTGTTTGAGCTCCAGATGACAATATTTTTCAGATGATAAAAAAATTTTGATCAAGATTGCTTAGATATTAGATAAAAAATTGAAAATTGACTGAATAAAAAAATTGACGCAAGCATAACTAATCCGTTTTCTTCGGAAGTCGGAACAATCATTGGGATTAATTAGCTCTCCCAAATTCTACTTTGAAATACTTTAAGCGTGGATTTTTCATAATTACGCCCCGAGCATTGTATTTGAAGGTATGCAGAGTACCCAAATTGTAGTCGATCAAACTGCCAAAATTAGAATTTTAAACTTTCATGTGAAATATTTATTACATTCATTTTTTTTTAATTTTTCAATTGAAGACATCAAAATTTTCAATTTGGTACGTAAAATTTTTTACTGTGCTTGTTACAAGCAGTTCTATTAGAAAAAGACCCTGAGTGTAAGTTAACTCGTTTTTCATTCAAATTGAATCTTATGCTGCTATTTTTTCATTTTTTTCTTAAAACGGTTTTTCTATTCTGAAGAAAGTCTGATAAAAACACCGTATTTTAAAACACGCAAAAACATGTAGAAAAAAGTACAGCAATTTTTTAACTGGGATAACGGCGCTGGGCATACAAAATGCAGTTTTGCGGAAAACAAATTTCATTATCTTGTATGTGTTTTTAGGCCCGGCATTTTGTTTAATCAATCATTTTCACAATCAGAAAACGTCATAACATGTTTGCGGGAAATCAAAAGCTACAATTTTTATTTGCGTTTCTTTCCCGACTTTCGAACATAATGACGCAATAATTGTTCTGACTTTCAAAGACGAAATATTCGTGATCGGGGTATTTTTTTCACTAGACATTGTTCGAAGAAAACTTTCTGCGCAAATTGAAAGATATTGTTGTCATGAGCGTAAGTCAGTGAATAAAACAGTTTTTATCTGTGATCATTTTTGTTAAATTGTGGTGGCTTACAGATCGCCAATTTGCCTACTTTGGGGCAAATAACGTGCGATTTATTCCGTGCTATTAACTCGTCAGCGAAGATTTTATCGGCGCCTCAAAAATCGTTCCTATTTTATACTTTGTTAAATGCGAAATATGATACTTGGTACTTAACATAGCTTGTGGGGGATAATTTTTTAAAATCTCAAACTGAAATTTTTCAATTGTTTTGAAATTTTTTTTCAGTTTTTCAAGCAAACACTACTCCGTAGAGTTTAAAAAGCAGTTAGAACTTTTAAGACTGCGCAGTGATACAAGCATTTTTGTTTAATTTTTTGTCACGAAATGTTTCATTAGAACTGATAGTAATCATATACCAAGATCGTGGTTGAGTATTTATCCTGACTGTTTTTTGCAATTTTTTCGCTCAAAATGAAGATGACGGGTTTTCATTTAATCTAAAAATCAACCCAAAAACTAAATGACTGAAAAAAATATTTGCCTACTAGCATAGAGGCACTTAGCATAGCGGTCAGGTGGTCACTTATAGATCGTCAGATAGTGTAATCTGTCCCCTGCCATGGAAGTGATAGTGTGCGAGGACGAGGTATCTCACTTGACCTCTAACTTCAGGTCTATTACAGCTGCAATATAGTGATTGATGTTTAAGTTCTAGAAGTAACAAATTGTCCTTGAGTCGCACAAAAAGCCTCGCTCAACAAAATAGTTTAGTTTAGAAAATGGGGAAAAGAAAAAAAACGGACTATGCTTAGACAGACTATATAGCCTTTCAAATATCCTCAGAGAATTTCAAAAACCACAGTTTTAACTGCGAAAAATTTTACCAAAACCAAGTCGTTGATTTCACCGTCTTTCGCGATCTTGTTTTGATGGATCATATTTTGCTAAATATTTGTTTAAATAAAAATTGACTTTTTTCATTGCACTTGGCAAATTTGTCTAAAAATCTAAAAGTTTTGGGAAAATGAAGTCTAACTTAAAATCTCCATTATAACCAACATAGGGAAGCTTATCAGAAATTTAACCTCAAAAAAATTCAGTTTCAACCTTTAAAAATTTCAGGCTGATGAAATCAGTTAAACGGTATTATAGTTTTAAAGAGAATACGGTGACCAAGTAAAACTCAAGTCGTGCTAAACTTTTATGGTTCGTTTTTCCACAGATTTTGAGCACTTTTTAATTAATTTTCTTCAGACGTTCAGACGTCCTACCTTCTGACTTACAGTTTTGAAGTTTTACTCAGTTTACTTTTCAGGTACTTTTGAGATGTCTTTTGACATTTTCTTTCGATTTCGTTCACACTTCATTCCATTTTTTCCAGGTTTTCATCTCAGAATTCTGATTAGCAGGAAATAGTTCAGTCGCTGTTGTTCCAATTGGAGCACCTGAAGTTGATCAGGTTCATCACCCTAGTTCTGAAGTAGCTATTCATAGTGTAGTATATAAATGGGTTGATAGTGAAGTTGCAGCAGAACACTGTCTGCAGAATAGGTTGCAGGGTGTTGAATGTTGCCCTCCAGGAGTCTGTTTCCGAGTGCAGTGTGTCCATCGTCTGCAGGATGACGTCGGGAATGGTGAGGAGGGTGAACGCCACCCCCACACATATGAACAGAACGGTCAACTTCTTCTCATAGTTGAGATTACTGAACCTGAACATAAGATATTCTCTCATTATCATCAATGAGGTAAAATCAGAACTCATTTTTCCATTCACAACTATCTTCGAATGAAACCCCGCACTGGAGTTCCATGGATAATAATCGATATTTTGTCGTTTTATAGTCATCATCTATAAAATTACAAAAATAATCGATTATAATCCATCAAAAATGGATTATAATCCATTATTTTTTATATCAATATAATCCATTATAAACGATTATAATCGATTATAATCCATTAAAAATGCATTATATGTCTGTCATTTTTATGCCAATATAATTCCTTATAACCGGTTATAATCAATTATAATGAATTTTTTCGAGAGGTTACTCTTGTAATTTACAACTTTTTTTCAAAGTTATCGCATTTCCTGTTTAGTACAGTTGATAAATTCATAAATAACTTACCTGTTGATCAAGTTCCTAGCAGCTTGAATAGGTCCGAATTTAGTGCATTTGCCCCAATCCAGCCCTTTTGAGTTGCCAGCCGACAGCGAATCTGGTTTACAGGTGCTCCCTGTTTTCTCTTCTTCCTCCTCAACGATGATTCCCCCATCCATTGTAGTCAAACTGGAGGCCGACTTATTCTCTCGATGCAGTCTCAAAGTGGACTCCATTCCCCTTACTTCTTTCATCTCTTGAATGGGCTCTGGATTTTGAATCACCGCAGCTGTTTCAGTGACCAGACTGACCCGTTTGCTAGAGCCTTCGGCCCTGTGCTCCAAACCGTCGCTTTCGGCTACCAGGTCTTCAGCAAGGGTTCGCGCCACCTGCTGGAAATATTACATATCTTATGTAAGCTCTAGATTAAGCTCGATACAGGGCATGAAAATCAATCAGTTTAATACTTCTGAATTAGCTCACCAACCCCCCCCCCCCCCCTCCGCCTCTAAGTTTTTAATTGAAGTATTTTGAGCAAATTTTAAGTCTTGAAAAGCCTTCCTAGTATTTCGACTTCGTTCTGTCCTGTTCTACTATATTGTCTCTTGCGTATTGCAAAAGGTGGCGAGAATTATTTCTAGGTGCAATAAAATGGTACAACGCATATGCTTAAGCTATTGGTTTAGTCATTACTGTTCTGGCACCTGTGAGCTTCGTCTGGATGATGGGCCTGAGAGTATGGGAGCTCTTTCTTCATGAGTGGCGTGTATGTCCTCACTAGCCAGTGTTACATTGGGTATGGGCGCCATCTCAGTCTGATTGGCCGAGTTGCGCTTCTCATACGTGATTTCAACCTTCAACTGAAACAAAAAACGCCAAAAATGACTTATTAAAATAGCTTTCAAAGACCTCATGTTGTTCATACAAAAACACAAAAGTTTGATAGAAGATGCCGATGCTGTGATCATAAATCGAAAATATATATATATATATTTTATTTAGAAATTGACTTGGTCAGTTTGGGAAAACCAAGGTGCGCCAAGTTTTCAATATTCTATAAGCGGTTAGTGTAAGTGGTGATTTAATCCGGCCCAGAAATCATTCCAGTTTGAAATGTGTCAAAATGCAAAATCAGTTTGTACTCGATATTGCGTGAGGTGGAAGACTTAAATCCGGTGCCAAACTAAGAAAATTTTCTATGAGGTAGAGGAATGATTTACGAGCTATTCAACTCTTTATAGAGCATTCTGTATTTGCCTGATTTAGGACATTCGTGTATTTTTTTTTTGGTTTTTCATTTGAGATTATTAAGATTTATCTGATGGTGGGCCATGGTGCGCCTCGAGCCACTGAGTTTTCGATTTCGACTGACCCACTCCACCGCTGCTCCTCAGTTTGCCATTAATATCTTCTGCTGCACTTTTTCACTTGTGGAGTGGGGGTCCGGTATTTCTCCAAAAACTGTCGTAAATGAATTTATATTGTTTTGTTTTTGAAAATTTTGCCTTGAGTTTTGTTCAAACAGCGTTTCTGATGGCGCAGATTTTTATGTAAATTATTTTTTTGTCAATCTCGACAGAAATTTTGATTTTTCGTTCGCCCCTTGCGCGGAAAACTCCTAGATCTGCACCTGGTATTGAGCATATCGGTTGACTGGCTTCAAAAACTTATGATTTACCCTTACCCTAATAGAATAAAAATAAATGAATCCGAAAAAAATGAAAAGTTTTAAGCAATTACAGGTCAAACTATGTATGGTCTCAATTTACTTTTAGGACTACAAATCCAGAATCAAGAATGTTTCTGATTTTTGTCAAGAAATGACGTTCAAATCATTTACAAGCTTTTAAAAGCTTGTGATATGTTTTCGTTGATGGCAAATGTAAGAATTTATTTTTTTTCACACTTAAAATTTCAACACTGCTACAATAAATTTTTATCATACTTTTCAGTCACAAAGTCAGAGGCAAATTTTTTTTATATTGTGACGGAATTACATCAAAGATATTTTTTTGTTGCTGAGCAGAGTAAGTATCGAGATAAGAGTGAGTTCTTGTGTGCTTTTTAGGCAAAGCTGGTCGATTTTGAACACGCGAAAAAAATGAGAACAGAAAAACATGAAATCGAGTAAAAAACATAAGATTTTCTGCATTTTAGGTCATTTTAAATGGATCAGAGTTATTTTTTAGTGTAAATAAATTGTTTCGAGCATTTGAGGAGAAAATCTTTTTAAAAATTTATACAAACTCAAGTTGTGTATTTGGTGAACTTTAATTAAATTACGCAACAGGCTGAAATCTTATTTGTTGCAGAATCTGAAACATTGCTTGTTTTCTTTGATCTTTTTGCTATATTTGAGCAATCCCCGCACTTAGCAAAAAGAGAAAATTATAGATTAAAAAATATTTTTATTGCCAGTCTCCAAAAATTTCAAAAAGAACTGTTTATAATTGATTAAAAAGGGACTCAAATGTTAAAAAAAATCATTTTAATCGATTATCGATTATTTTATGGAAGTTTTTTTTTCTCAAATTTTTTCGAACTATAATTCATTATAATGGATTATAATCCATTATTTTTCAACAAACGATATCGCCTGATTTCGTTTTAGTTTTGTTTTGTTTTGTAAGCTTTTCAGTTGGTTACCGAACTACAAGAAACTGTAATTTTGTACTTATAGCCACCAGCGGATTTAGGAAGGGGGCGTCGGTGGGGACACCCCACTCCCCTCAGGGATTTGACCCCCTGCCAACCCAAAAGGTCTCCCCATTTTCCCCCCACTATTTTGAGAACCCCCACTATTTTGAAGTCGCCCACTGTTTTCAGATATCCACTTTTTGCTCAGGGGGGCGCCAAAAAAAAACAATTTTTTGAACAAATTTTTCCAAAAAACGCCTTTTTTGGCCCGTTTTTTTTTCAAAAATTTGCCTGCGCCGCATAAAATTTGACCAAAACAGTGTCTTTTTAATGCCTTGGAAGGCTTGGAACTAATCTTGTCAAGCTTTATAGTTCTTAGGAGACTCCACTCGCGAAAATCCTAGATCCGCCCCTAGATAGGTTTACTGGTTCTTACGTCTTGCTGATTTTTATTGTGTTTTCATGCAGAATAGCTAAAATATTATCCATTATAATTGATTTTTCCTGTGAAATATTATTTTGATAGAAAAAGGGATCATAATCTATTATAATAGGTTATAATAAATTCTAAGATATTAAAAAAGATTTTCGGAAAAATTATAATTGATTATAATTTTTAAAATGTCACCAAAAATGTTATCATTATAATGGATTATAAATCGTTTAAACTTCTAATTGGCGCTTAAATTTAATTATAATTTTGCTAAAAGTAAAATTGTAATTACAATATTATCGTTCTTTTCTCTTTTTACTGATTGCAGGTCGCTATATTTGCTGGTTGCGTAATCAGCGACAAAATAATCAGCCGACAAAGTTTAACATTACAGATACTTGTGAGCGGAATCCACGGCATTTTTGTTAGTAGAGTCCATTTACATTTTGGAACACGTTTGAAGACTTGTCTCTGAATCCCAGTGACCTACAGACATATAGAAACGCCCATCCAGTGCACAGTTTGGCTTCGTAATTGTTGATGATACCCAAATTAAACTCGGTAAGCTGTTTTTAATCACAATGTTTTTATAATGCATTATTGCGTGTAATATTTGATAACTCGTAGCATTTAAAGATTTTTTTGAATATAACACCTTCCTTCCCAAAGTGGCGTTGATTTGAGCATGTTTAGTTAAATTACATTTGTTTTTTTTTCCGCTGATTTTTTTTTTGACTTTTTTTGAAAAAAAAACGACCCTAATTTTTTTCTAAAAAAAAGTTGGCGTTAGTGTTTACTTCTTTTTAGAGAGAAGCGTGTGCCAAAAAACCGCAATCTTTTGTTCATACTTTTCCAAATCGATAGTGCGCAAAACGGCGGTTTTGGTCCCTTTTATAGTGTTTTGGGACAACTCGAATCAATTCGCTCGACCTAAAAATTTTGTTGAACTTTTCCAACAAATATTTTGAAGCTTCGCCCCGATCTCCTCAACGAATTCATAGATCCTCGTTTAAATAGAGCTCAGAGTTTACAGATACCTTTTGCAAATAGCTCCTGGAGTTTTGAAATTATTAGCCATTTCAATTTTTGTTTCCAAAAATTGAATGATGTGAAGAGGTTACAGAAAAGTCTTTTCACATTAAGCTCAGTAGTAAGTGAGATTATTATAGACCGTGTTGGCCGTGTCTTCTAATCTTAACCAATTAATTTTATTTAAGTGCTGCCATACTGGGAAAAGTATCAGGTCATAAAATAAAGCTAATTGAACATGGGGATGATTTGGAGAAATTTGGACAATCAGAATTGAGGGGGCGTGGATGCGCTCGGGTCTCTCCTCTTCTGTACGCTACTGGTAATAAGCATACTTATGGTTGGGGCAAAGACATAATTCCGTTATTTTTAAGAAAAATCTGTGCGATAATATTTTTAGTTCAAAAAACGCAAATAGCTCATCAAATATAATTTCAAATTCCAAAACGGATGTTCATTCTTTGAATTTCAAAAACATTTGCCTTCACTCATTAAGTTTATTTTTATCATTCGAATGCGATTCTTTTGTTGTTTCCAAAACATTTTTAACAATCGAGCTCAGACCTTTCAAAAAACGGTATTAAAATATTGTGCGAGTTTGATTTCCGGCAATTAGTCATAGATTAAAAAATTTCATGAGAAAGTGAGATCAGAAAACATTTAAATCTTCTATGGAAGAGATCAATTAAATAGTCGAAGCGACGATGTCATTTGTCTAAGAAAAATTGATGGCATTTGAAGTTGAAAAGCCATTAACTGGTTCTTTTTTCTTCCTTCAAATTCAAAGTATGAATACAATGTCTTATCTGAGAGCCACCGTATAGGATTTTGAAGCCAATGTACGTTGAACCTGGTAAATTTTTCTACATGCAGCACTTTCGGTGCCAATATGTAATAAATTTGAGGAAGCGCTCACCAAAAAAAAGCGATTTGGAAGGCAAAGTTTTTCAAACCGAGCCCAAAAATCGCACTTGTGACCTGTTTTTTTTATCCAGCTTAAAAAGAGCATCAGAGATCTGGAAGATTAAATTTGGTGGTTCTACATGAAATATCGAAAAACGTCGTTTCAACATTTTTTGAAAGAAGCACAACCACCTTTATCCCCTCACAAGCCGTACCAGAGAATCCTAGATTCATCCGACAGTGTCTCTCATCATATTAAATTTCTACAAGCTGAGAGGATAAACTACCACAAAGTCTTTTCATAGACAACCTAAAATGTTTTGTAAGACTTTCGCTCGCAGAAACACGCAGAACAATTTTTGTTCCGACTTTCGATACGAAAGTAACGGAATATTTGTGCTCGGGGTGGATTTTTTTTCTTCAGACAAATTTCGAACTTTTAACTAGCCATTTTTGACGAAATTTTTTAATAACATTCGAAAGCTATTGTTGTCTTGAGCTCCAATTTGAAAAGATATTTCACCTGTGATCATTTTTCGTAAAGTTATGGGTGTATAAAGATTGCCATTTTGGCCAATTTGGGACAATTAACGAGCGATATATTTCGCTCTATTAACGCGTAAGCGGAGATTTAATCCGTCTTAAAATCGTTCCAAATGGTTGAAAGAAGCTTATTTGCCGTAATTGATTTGTTACAAGGAGCTAAATTTATCTTATTGTATTTATATGGCGTGTGGGGGGATGATTTTCATAAAAAATTTCAAATTTTAGAAGAAAAAAAATTTCATTTTATTTTAGTACATTTAATTTTTTGATGTTATTAATGCTCCATAAAACTTAAAAGGCAGTCGGAACATT